CCCGCGTGTTCTTGTCATCCCGTCTCACACGTTGGGCTACGCAGGAAGCACGTACCTGTTCCAACTGACGACAGCATTTGGCAGCGAAACTACCAATACCGCCAACGTAACCAGTAAGTGAAGTCGTCGAGCGCGCTCGTGCGGCGTTGTCTGCTGTTGGTTGAACGCGAAGTACTCAAAATTTGGGTTCGCCTCTGTAGGGATATCGTAGTTTGGGTAGATTGGCGCGTTAGGTGACATCAGCTATCGCCAGTCTAGCCCGATGGAAACACCGTGCAGAAACGTTGAAAATACGGCTGGAAACAACGAGATGCTGCCCGGACACATGGTGCTGACCAGATCAAACGTTCATCCTACGGATCGTCCGTCCCATCACCCGATGAACTCAAGCTGCAAACGCACGGCCCCGAAACGGATAAGGAATGCGAGAGGATTCGCCTCAAAGCCGTTTTGACTCTCCGTCGATCAAGTTTGGTAGTGTGTGTGAAACGTGATTGTAGCATGTACTTTTAGAACCAACGTCTCATTGGCTACACCTGATCTCAACATTCTGCATTGCAATGAACGGTTCTTCGTCCTTGTTCCACTCCGATCCCATAGTCGAGATAGTCAGTGGGCCAATAGTCGCGGCTATTTCCGGAGGAACAAAGCGGAGCATCGGAGTTGGGCAGGCAAGAGCAAAGTTGAACGCTGTGGGGACACCAACCCGTTCCGTGCCGTATCTTGGTTGCGTGTGGTGTAGTATGGAACTTAGGTTCACGCCATATTGCTATTCGCGCCATGTCAGCTCCTATGCTAAGCAAGATTTCGCTCTCGCAAGGTTGACCCAATTGTGTTTTGCAAGTTCGCCCATCATCAAGCTATCACCACACGCCGCAATATCCCACAGACTCTGGAACTGGATGCTTCTGTGTCGGTAGATACGGATGGCGTAGACATTATTCCCTTTGACTACACCTGGCATTGCGAGAGCGAATCCGGGGATGCGTGCGTTTCGACGGCGGGCGAAGTGTTGGACCTTTCGGGCTTCGCTGCAGGAGCCATGCTCTCCATCCCCCCAGGATCGTTACCATCCGGTGAGGGACCTGCAAAGAGTCACCAGGACCCGTACGCCAGCTTGGAATCAGTTCACGTATCGCGTTGCACGCCATGAATATCCTAAGGCGAGGTGCTGTAGTTCGTAACCTTCATTTTCCTCACGGCGGCAGTGAAGCCATTCGCCCGAGGGGGTCTGAGGCTATATGAATAGCACCAACAATGAATTCGCTTTGTTGTTTTATGTTCCGCCACGTATCGTGACGCCTCCCACCGGCAGGTACTGAGTATGTCTTCATGGTCACTGCATCGAAGCATTCCGATGGCAGCACAAAATGGTCGGAGTATCGTAGCGACAATGCGTCGTGCATCGTCTCCACGACGGTGCTTGATGTTCCACATGTCGCCATTACTCCGAAGGTATGCGTCAATGTATTCACGAGCGGACAAGATAGTGGTTCAAGATCCATCTCGAATCTGACAACATCCAAACAATCGAACGGTCAACACCAGTAAATGACGGTGGCTACCGCTGGTGGCGAGTGTCCAATCGCTATCCAAAGCGTTGTCCATGTCAGTGAAAGGGGTGCCGCAAACATTGTTTCCTTCATCGCTCGACAGGAGATCCACCGCAAATTCAGTCCTTCGAAGAGGTTGGTCTTGTACGGGTGTGCAGCCGCATCCACCGACTCTCACTGCAGCAACAGCACCTTGGCGGACTTTGGCTTTCAATGGGATCAGGTTTGAGACACAAGACGGTATTCGGGGTCGACGCATCGCGTCGCAAGAACTCAGGGTGAACCTCCCTCGATATGATAAACGGTTCATTTCATAACGTGGCCGTATATCTGCCGATCCCCCCGGCCAGTCTGGTCATAGCTATGACAGTAGTTCATTTGGACCGTCCCTCAGATCGTCATTCCCATGATGAGCTGAGGTCCAGCGATGTAGCAAGGCCTGCACACTCATCCAAATGCTATTCGGTGCTGTTCTGAATACCTTGTTGTACACCTTTGTTTTACACCCGACAGGTTGACAGCAATATCGGGCTATCGAATGACGATTCATCCGGCGGGAACGATCAAGTGTTTCGCACTAGCGACCGCCACCCAACTCTCGTTGTGCGAGCCGGGGCTCTTTCGCCAGGTCGAACGTACACGTTTTCGATGACCGCGACAGGATCGTCTGGCAGGGCTGGCTACTCTGGTAAACAGTCCTATCCACGATACAGAAACCCGTGTATCGTACCATCCCGCGAACAACTGTCATCGCCGTGTGAAACGTGAAGATTTCTCGGCAACGAAAATGTCGAGTTGAAAATTATTCGTGTGAAGCTTGCATTATCGCTCGCTAGGTCTCTATCAGTTATCATCACGTTATGACGCCGCCTACATCTCGACGACTATCTCTCTACCATCATGTAGAGTTTTCTTTCGAAACCAACGCTGCTCCCGTGGGAGGACATGTTAGCTCGGACCTACTCCAAGTGTACGCCGGGGAAGACGCCGTGGTGCTACAGACTATGGATTGGACGGACGACTTTGAGGATCTTCCGATGACATACGAGTTCGGCTATTCTCACGGATGGCATGAAGTTCGTTCTGTGTATAGGTGAACTCATGAAATCGCACACTACCACTGCCGAACATGCGGTCGATTGTGTGGCATTCGCTGTCGTCGCCTGCATGTCACTCTATTCTGGATGGGTGAGGGCGGACTGTATCGTATCTACTCCCGACGTTCGTGCACTGCGGGGTTGAATTTGCACGCAGAGGAGATGTAAGAACAACCGTAGAACGCTTGCACTCCCACATGATGAGATGATTCAATGTTGAGTGTGTGGTACACGTGGTGCACGAAGTTTATCGTGACCAACTGGGACCCGCTTGAAGCTCGCACTAACGATGGCCCTTCACGAAGCACTCTCATCTATGCTCTATTGAACGTACAGCGAACAACGGATAACGAGGCTGTCCTCAGCAGCGTCATCATCAAGCTCCCTTCTCACGCACCTACCGCCCGGAATGGCCCTCAACGCTTTCAACATTACGGTAGTGGCCTATATCTCTGATATCTTTGGGTCAACGGCCGTCACGAGCCTCGACATCGACGGAGTGCCACTGTCGATCGTCTCATATCCCCCAGAGAAGGTGTGGTATACCGGCTATTGGTGCCCATAGGCTAGGGAGAGCGTGGGCCATGAGCTCTGATGCTGCCATGCCCATGTTGCCATCCGCCAATTTTGGATGACTTGTGGAGAAGTCGGGCTAAGAAATGCATTGTACGGCAGTCCCATGACTTTCCCTGTGGGGTACCCGTTTGTCTGGCGAACGACACGTTCGCCTTGTTCTCGTTTGTTCAAAGATATGGCGAAACTCCGACAATCAATACTGTCTCTGACAAATACTGCAATAGCCGCAGGTAGCGCCCGCACATGACGACCTCTAGTTTCGGCCGAGACTTGGGTTCTTGGTTACCCTTGTGGGCACTAATGGCTGCTATGTATTGTACTTCAGCTTTGGCGTAGGCCTCATAAACGTTACTCAAGTTCCTATATTCGACAAACGTTTGGGCATGCGCTAGTATCTGCCAAGTTCTAACACACGGGTTCGATCTGTATTCGACGTTCTACACGGCGTATCGATGGAACAAAGCAGGTCGTGGTGTCTTCTCTGCAGGCCAACCTTTCGTCGCTATCGACGGGAGCGAGCTCGTTGACCGACCCTGATGACGCGCTTAGGAGTGTGATGATGCTTTCGGCTGTTCTAGGACACGCACCAGAGCCAGAAACGGCGGACGAAACCCGCGAAATGTTGGGGCTGAAGGTGAAGAGGCCAGTCCACAGTTGGTGGAAGACCTTTTTGGCTGGACCAGAGCTCTTCCCTGCAGAATAATGATTAGCCTCCAGTTCTCCTCGAACGCCTTGCTGGAAACAAGTCCATTGGCATGAATTTTAGTCTCACCAACCCATGTAGCTGTGGTTGGAGATGTTGAATGTGAGCGTGTCGGTACGGCGGATTGACGTGTGACCATTCCCACCAAAGGGGTCGGTGTGGCTCGCTCGGAGTCTCGAAAACATCCTTCATCGGGAACGCCAATATTCCCAGATGAGGTGATAGCATCAGCCCTACTTGAATGCGGCAAGCACCCAATTACAATATGATGCTTGGAGAGTAGACCGAACAAAGATGGCCTGCCTAGCGACAGAAATAAATCCTCTAATGCTCGAAGGGCTGCAAAAATTGGGTTAGAAACACATGGATGCCTCCGAATTTGGGATGGTTGCAAATACGAGCTGGCGGCAAATATTCAGTGCTCATATGCAGAAAGTTGCAAGCATGTGGGAACACCCGTAAATGTTTGGTAAGGACGAGACCAAACGGGAGGAGAAAGCTGAGCTTACGCGATCGATGTCAGCTTGAAAGAGCAAAGGTTGCAACCGATTCGTCGTACCAAACCTCAGTACATGTAGCGATTTTCGTCTGTACGGTGCATGCCCACGAAAACGAAACGAGTGTGTTTCGAGTGGGATTGATCCCACCTCAAATGTCACAAGCAGGTGGGTGTCAAACAGTAGAACTTGGACATGTGCACACGATGGTACTATGCGTTAAGCAGCATCACATTCTCCACGACAGGGTTTTTTCTATAGCAAAATAATGCCCGTTCGGTGAGAAAGCTCGAAAGGTCTGAAACTTGCCACCAAGGTGAAAGTTCCACACGAGATACTTACATGCTTGGGCGAAAGCTTTCGGTAGGAAACCACGAACTCATGCCTTAGTTCACTGCCGACGAGTTGTTGAGCTCATGCGCTATTGGTGGAGGGGAGAAACCCTATGTGGCTCACCATGTGATTGGCCTCGTTGGAAAACCTCGTGTTCGGCCTGCTTGCATCCCAGCACGCCATCATCACTTTCGTAGCAGACTCATACCTTGCATTGGACTCAGGCTTCGGAGCAGTTCAGATGGGGGCAGACACATTGGCGGCAGCAGTTACATCACATGCGGTGAGTGGGGTACAAGTGGGTCTACTGTAAGAAGACTACGAAATCTGATGGTGGAACCACATCCAAGTCATCTGAGTCGTCATCTCCGCCTCGGGTAGAAGCTTTACCAAGCAAGACACACGCCGAAACATTTTCATGTGTTTCGTGCAGATAGATCTCTTGGAAAAATATTATAACGGCGTAAGAGGGTGAGATGGAGGCGCCGTGAAAATGTTTCTGTTGTTATTCCAGTGGCAGTAACGATGGGAATTCTATTACCAAGCGAGTTTGGCAGTAAAGAAATGCGACGTCAACACGTCGCTATGCTACAATTTCGTATCGGCACTTGCCAGGAGAGCGGAATATTGAGCAGTACGACGCTGGAAGAGGTATCGGGTGTGGTAGAAGACATGATCAAAGTATCGACGGAAGACGGGCAGGTGCTGGAGTCTGGCCCAGCGGCTTCTCTTTTGCAGGTGTGAAGCTTCGCATGGTTCGCGCGTTTCTGAGAGAGAACATGATTGTGTCGGCCCTCGCCATGACCCGCGGGTGGGTTTAGATTAACTTGTTTCACGCTCATACATCGCGGCCGCTTGATTCATCATGTGTCAGATGCAACTGTAGTAAATTTGCAAACAACATCTCATCCACACGGGCAGCTTTGAAAACATTGTCTCCCCGTTCTCGAGCAGATAATTGTTGTCTGATCTCTACCGTCGAACGAATTGCCAAAATACACATGTTATTCAAACTGTCAACCTGTGCACGGGCCAGGCGGTCTGATTCGCGACCGACCATATTCGGTTATGTATTACGATTCGAACGTGACCTTCACCCGTTTGCACGTCACGTTTCGTTGTACTGCTCACATTTTCTCAGACTGTAGGTGTTCTCCTACACGAGAGTAATGTATCATCGTCGGTCGCTGAAGGTAACGGCTACTACTCCGGCAGAAACGGCACCCTCATGCTTCTCGGCAGCCTTGGACGCGCTGTGGCGATCGGATCCGAGGCGGGTGAAGAGGTGGATCAAGTCAGTACTGGCTCTGTCGATCTGCAGGTGGGTTTGCCTTACCCTTTCCACGACTGAGCCTTTATTTCACCCTTACTCGTTTGTCAGTACCAAACACTCCGTCATACATCACCTCTACAATGCCTCAAGTCGCCAAAGCTCATGCATGACACGATCCATTTGCATGATTGGAGTAGGCAGCGAAGGTCGCCGAGTCCTCCATTCATGAGGCTGTTGTCTCTGTTGGCGAGAACGGAGCACAAGTGTCGTTTGAAGACTGGATGGCACCGGCCGGCGTCGAAGACAATTCCACGTTCGTTGTGGCGGTGACATCGCTAGGCACGTTCGAATCGGAAGGTATGCGTTTCGGTGAATATACTTGGCCGTGCCAAAGACCAACCAGGGTTTGGGTTCGTACGCAGTTAAAGATACAAACAATAGATCTGCTGAAGGCGAGCAGATAATAGGCACTGTTACGTGCATACCACATATGTTGGTTCGGTGTGATGGGTGACAAATATCGATCACACTTCACGCGAAAGGCAACCTCTTTGGCACCATGACGCGCCTTTCAATATTTGACGTTGCTGTTACATGGGGATGTGACACAACTTCTCGATATGGCATGTTTGTCTGGATCTTTCGCAGAGCCAAGAAACATCACAACAATCAACGCGTGGGATGCAGAAGGCAGAGCTATCCACGACTTGGCCTTTCCTGTGAAGTTCTTCGTTCCAACCAAGGTGAGCAGGTCATTCTTCATCAAACCAGAGGAGCTGATGAGCATTGAGGATCGTAGTCGGTGGCATATTATGATGGGTGGTTGCCGCATTAAACGGCATCGGGCCGGCGTGGTAGACCCGTTCACTAGGTAGACCGGTGTTGTTGTCAAAACAATGTTCTCAGCTCCATAGAACCCATTGTACACGCTTGTGGGCATCGTTGACACCGCAGGTGGTGATACCGCCATGGGCACCAGATGGCATTACGCCCACTTGTGCGTATTGGTCCGAAGTTAGCAACGAGTGGAAGTCGGACGGCATCGTTCTAGGGTCTTCTACCAATGAAGTGGGCGGAGCCTCCTCGATAACCTGTTCGACCTTTCATCTGAGTCCTTTCGCGATAGCACAGGAACAGAGCGCATCAGTTCAGTGGATTACCGCCGACCGGCTAACAGACACCAATGTTCTACGAGAGGTAAAGCGGGCTCTGGCGCGGGACACCATTGTTTGGTAGGAATACAGCCTTGCAACAAATTGCAAGTCGCGAAAGACGGCTTCGAAGAAGAGTCAATTCTTGCGAAGGGTGCTCACCGATTGATGGATGATCGTTTGTGTATCGTTGCGAACATATGTCGAATCTACCTCTTGTACTGGCCCAATACAGACAGCCTACACGGTGGATAATCAACGAATGAGTGCCCACAGTCGATCATCACGATCACGTATGGGAGGCTATTAGAAACCAGAATGAAGTTCTAGAGCGAGGTTGTTGATTCAAGCTGGGCCTTACGTGGTGCACCAAACGCGCACACCTGACCATTGACTTTGTTTTCCCGATGGCCATGATTTCAATGACGCCCCTCTTCGTGCCTACACGATATTTGCTGGACCTCTGTAGTATTGGGCTGAAAGCTGGCCGGCCATCCTGTTCCTGAGCATGGTCATGGTCCTTTTTCTGGCGCCTGCTGCGTTGCTGCACTGGCAGGTAAGATTGGATCGGACGAATGTCGTTGAACCCCGACGAGAGCAAGCCCGTCGAAAGTTTTGAAAATATTTCATAGCCCAAGCTTTGGTGGTCCCTCCGAAACTCGGAACTGGTTTCAATACCTTATTTCGCCTGTGGGCGATCGTACGGTCGTCGGCTCTCGAAAACCTATCAGGGAATGCTACATGGTCACGGACAGGTGACATGGCGTTGTGCGTTGGATGGTTCTCGATTGGTCTCCTTCACGTACAATAGTAGTGGATGGAAAACATCGGGAGTTTTGTTCGTACCTCCAACTCTGTCCCTGTGTGCCCACGGATATTTTGATGCTGACGTGGTTGCCCTGTATCTACTCATCAATGCATGTACCATGGGCCAAACGCTTCTAGGGGCTTACACAAGCACTACGCAGAACACCCTCGTCACAGAATACGCGCGCCCTGTTTTTCGGGTTGCGCATCTGTACGCCGCACGCCATAGTAACGGGATGCCCGGCGCCGTTGACGATTTTCAAGACCGTAGAGTGAAAGAAACTAGAAACAGCGTGGGCGGTGAGCGTTGTTTCGGCCAAACCGTTCGCTCATTTTCCTAATGTGCATTCTTCTATCGGTTTCCCTGTCTCAGGATATCAAGCGGGGTGTAGACCATCAGTATCTCGCCATTCTGCGACACTCATACCTGGGCCGGGGCAGGTGCTCTCGCGAGGACCAACCGGTGCAATCCCGGGTAAGTCGCTGGGCAGATGAGTGATGAATCGTGACCAAATGTTTTTCAGTCCTTCCGTGGGTGATTGCTTGCACGTCGTGATCGACCCTGTGCTTCCAATTCTGTGCGGCGTAGGGATTCATCCAACAGATAGGATCACGAATCACTTTGTGTCATGTCTCCTAGTGTGAGAAACCTCAGCGCCCGCCAGTGGTCACAGAGGTTTTGTTTCGCCGTTGGTTTCTTGTTGCCCTACTTCGCAGAGATCCGGTGCCGAGCAGGCCGAGAAATCTCACCCCTTACCTCCTCCAACGTTACAGCCATTGCAGCACACCTCACACCTCACACGAGGCGTCTGTCCTCTGCTACATAGCAAACGCATGACTCACGCCGCGGTGGCACCACGGTGGCAATCTCACGCTCAAGCCGCACACCTTGACGATCTTGTCTACCGCCGTGCAGACCAGGGACAACATGACGGTGCTGAGAAACGAGTGCATCGAAATTTGACTACCCCCCCACAAATGCTCTGCAGGTGGCCGTCTTATGGACCCCCCAAAAAGGAAAAACGCCTCGTCGTAGCCAGGAGGAGTCCAGTGCGCTGAGAATTGGTGTTCAGCGGAATATATGCTTCCCTTTCCTCAGAGCTCTCTCCACGCTCTACGTTTGTCTCGTTGGCTACAGCCGTTTACTACCCTATTGGGCCATCCGACAGTTTGAAACGAATACTCTCAAAGCATACCAAAGTCTAATGCATGTTTCCATCGACCACCGTAACTCCACAGATGAAGGAGAAAGCGCGCGAGGCACACAAATATGTTGCCAATAGCAACCAGCTGGATAGCGGCTACCTCCAGATCCACAATATTGCACCATCGAAGAGAACGGACTGTTTGGCTACGGTGAGGAAGTAACTGTACATCCTATCGTAGTCGTTTGGCGTGGACGATGTACTGAAACGTATGCCTGCTACGCGTGGAGCGGTCGAATTCTCAACAAGCAACCGTGGCCTATTAGGCCGTGAATGAAGCTGCGCCATTCGACATCGTTCAGGAAGATTCCAAACATCCTGAGCTGCGCGTGGTCTGTTCCACGTCTCGCTGCTTTGAACCTCCTGTATGTATCCTCCGCTTGGTGCGCGCTCGACATACTAGGCTTCTGCGAAGAGCGTATTTATGAACCATGCCTGGCGACATCTATGGGGCTCGCCGACCGAGCACTTCAAGAAGACGCTTCTCACGAGGTGGATCGAATATTTCTCCTAATACTGTAGTGTTCCTGGTATTCATTTAGTGGTCAGTTTTATCGCTTTAACTATGATTTCTGTTATTCTGGATGGGACTCTTTGAATCTTGGTGGGGAACTTAGGCATTCGACTACCGGCCCGCTATAAGTCGCCTGATTGTTTTGAACGGTGCTCATTGAGATAATCTTGTTGGCAATTTCTACCCAGGTCTCAGCACCTCGTGATACTGCTAGCTGACTGGATGAGCGCGGTGGCTCTCCAGGCAGTATTCTACGGCAAGAGTCAAGTCAGCATTCGGCAAAAGGTACTTTCGATCTCTGGCGCAAGGTATCGCGTGATCACATCCGTTACTTTTCGATGATTCGATCACGCACACGGACAACGGATTGACAACTCATCAGCGCAGCAGGTGTAAAGGGAATGAATAGTGTTGAGGAAAACTCATACGGCGCCCTTCATTCTCTTGGCGACTTCGAACGACAGCCTGTGTCGTCTTGATTGATTAAAACCGGCAGTAGACAATAAATACCCTCACGATAAGGCATTTGCCGCCGGTTCCTTTGGAGTCTTTGCGTCGTGGACGACTTGTTTAATTGTTAGGGAAGCGCCCATTGGCGCGAGTTAAGAGAACAGTAGTGTTTTCGAGTCTCCTGTTGTGGGCCCACAGACAAGGTCGTTTCGATAGGACGGTGCCTTGAATCGCGTCTATCAATAATCACCAAACCCCAAACCGTATACTTCTAGTACCGTAAAGTGCGGTTGCGGTTTCACAAGCTGACAGAGATACACCCCTGCCTTTGTGGACACTCATCCAAGGCGGAAATGACCGCCACCACGGCGCTCTTCATGGTCCCAACCGCTCTGGTATTCCCTGCCATGGTGAGAATGGCCAACACCCCGCCATCATCACAGACGCTTCCTCGAGTAAGGAAGCACCACAACGTGCTAGGGCCACAGCGGTTTCGACATCATGAGCAAGTTGTCAGTCTCCAGGACGGGCTCGTGAAAAAGCAGCATGAGGAATTCCACCCTGCACTCTCAGCTGGTGAGCTTTACCAAACCCGTTCAATCCAGGTGGTTGCCTCGCCTCTTGCGTTTGAGGCGAAAGTGATGCGTAACTAGCCAAATAGACGGATTGGAATTTGCCGAAGCTCCAAAGCATCACCGATCGCCACGGATACGCCGGCTAATTGAACCTTCCGCATTCGTTGTGTCTCAAGCCAAACTATATCTCGGGCTGGCCGACGCTTACACGTTGTTGCCTTTTTTTAGCACGGGCTAAGCCGAAGGGCCCTATGCGAGGTCCCGTCGTGGAAAACGCCGCCATCACGGTCCCGCTGCTACCGCAACTAACGAACCACAGGCGAGTGTTTTGTCTGCTTTGGGAAATACGGAACGAGTGACTGGTGTGACCCACAGCCAACCAATCGCGAAGGGAAGATTTCCGGCTTAGGGGGCCGTTCTTTTTCAGGTTTTCCACTCCGGAGCACCGTTGGGACAGGTGTTCACCTTTGGTCATTCTCTTGATGGTACATGGAAGCCCCTACTTCGTCGTGTTTCACAGGCAGCAAGAGCCCGCTGTGACACGCCTACAACAATTTCAAAACATGAGTATTGTCTAGGAGGGCTTGTACGGCCTCCTTGATGCTGCGTCCCTGCAGGCGGTTGAACGATAAGCGTTTCCCCTGCATTTTTCTTTGCACCCAAATGTGCCTACTCGCAGGGCGAAGAGACCAGCGCTCATTCTCCCGGCAGCACATGTTGTTGACAACGCGGGTGGGGTTGGTACCAACAAGACGGACGTTTACAGGGAGTTAATCGTGACCCAAAGAGTGCTGGTGGCCCTGTACACGTTCGTGCCGCTGTGTATGGCAATATTTGTTCCGATGGTGAGGCCACATGGCTATATGTCAATGCAATCAAGAGTGAATGGTGGCATAGTACGTTCGTCCAAATCGGGGACTCCTTTCCTGGTCGGACCTGACGATACACATAGTGTTGCCTGTTTAGTTTGGCTTCTTGGCGCGATCCGTGCTTTTGACCTCGCGCAGAGAAGGAAAATTGCTTTGGCTGCTTTTGCCAAAGTTCTCTTTGACTTTCATTCCAGGCTCACACACTGGAGGAAGAACTGAGTGTTTACTTGCGTGACTGTTCTCCCAAGAATGAAGTTTCGTCGTATATAGTCGTGCTCGAAGACAGTTCTATTATAGTTTTGCATCGCCCAATCGACTCACAGGTATTTCGAGTGATGCGCGAGGCAGAGGGGGCTGCTGGGGGAAATCAAGCCGAAATGCTACACAACGCAACGGCGTCGCTGGGTATTCTATGCGCCCTGCTTTGCCCGTTTTCAGTATACGGGGTGGTAACGCACCGAGTCACTATCATGTCTCAGGTGGGGAATGACGTGGTCATGGCCTTATCCGAGAGGGAATTTTGTTATCGATTCGCTTTAATGCATCCCACACGTGAGGTTGCCCGCTTGGTGGAAGGCAAGCGCAACAACTCCGAATCTAGCCAATGTTCCCATACATATACCAACAGAAATCGATTGTCCCAACGTAGCCCTCGCCACTCTCTGTTGTGCTCCGGACCATGTCAGGCAATGGCGTTTCAAGCTGTGATTGCACCTGCTCTAGTGCTTTGTGGTGCGATTCTTTTTGACTCCAGCATTGGCCTCGCCACAGGTGATAAACGTTGCCCTCTGGGTGGCCGAAAGCGAACAGTAGCTGCAGTGGCTATTGCCTATTTGTCTGTTTGTTGCTTCAGCCATAGTCTACAATATCTTATTTCCGTGCCGTGTTGCTCCCTGCGCTCTCTGCATACGATGGTGATTTTCGAGAGTGGGTTTGTTGTACATCTCCCGCGACCTCGTGTTTCTCATATAGCCATTCGCTTTCGGAAGACATCACGTGTGGTACGACTCTTCCACCCATTGAGCTCTCTCTTCCGGGTCAATTTCCACTGTCCCTTCTGGCGCAACAGGAGCCGCGTTCGGGGGGCTGAGCACCCTAGTTTGCGCATACTTCCTCAAGGTGCACAGGAAGAACGAACGGTTATTGCGAGGCGTCTGTCAGGAAGACCTAATCACAGCATGGTCTCACCCGTTGCCTTCCATGCATTCCGCGGCCCAACGTGTGCAGCAAGCTTTCAGGTGAAGCACTCGACTGGATGTGCAAGGTATTACGGTAAACGCAGGTTGGTTCAGGAGGGTTTGTGTATGGTAGAAACTCGCTTGCATCAGCCAAGTTGATCAGAGGTCAAACATGGGTGACCTCGTGACATTGTGCCATCATCTGGCTCGGACGTCCCCGCAAGTCTCGCTTATGGGCATTACACTGCTGCGAATATCGAACGACACTGCAGCGCCATTGTTTGATTCTTTTTGACCAATGCTCTCTGCAGGATGCACCGCGCCGTGACGAGAACTACCCGAGTCCTCGAATTCAACTCCTGGCTGGACGAGTGCAGGCTAAGGCGTTCCGTGATGCGCGTCTTGGTTCACTCCGTGGTGTACGTGGTCATTCTTTGCCTGGCGTACACCAACCTCGTCTTCGCGATAAAATTTGACCGGTGAGCCCCCCTTTGTTCTGTCTGATGAATCGCGACTAGTTTCCTTTGACTTCCGGGTTGTTAACGGGTCCGTTCGCTTCTTCCGCGCTTGACGATTACTCAGTGACACGCATTGATTCCGCATCTTCCGATTGCATCCCTTGGAAGCGCCAAACTGTGGTACTGGTGGACTGTGGTGCGACGACGAGCTTCGGTGATGCGTTCACTTCTTTCCATGCCTTTCGAACACATCGCAATCATGTTGAACGTCCAGAGGAATCAAAATTAAGTGTTAAGCACTACGACAAACAACGCCACGCCGATCACAATGTACGAACAGCCCCTTCGACAAAAATCATTCTGTAAAAAGCTACATGTAAGGTTTGGGAGGCTGTCACGGTACTGGACAAATTGATTTCCTCCCTCTTTGAATACGATTTGCCGCCGTCACACACAAACGGTACTGGCGAATAAAAAACCAATGATCATTGCAGTTGTTCATGGTTCATGGCAATTAGCGGGGGGCATTTACTGTGATGTCCACGGGGCAGTCATGTGGGATCTTTTCGTTGTGTCTGTGCGTGGAAAAGCCGTGAAAAAAAGGCCACAGCAGCTGCCGTGCAAGCCGTGGAGGCTTCAATGAATGGAAGCTTATTTGAAGCTGCCACCAATAGAAGGCAGCGTAGTTTGCTTGTCTACACAGACCACCACAAAGGTTTGTTCGTGCTCGACAACTGGCAAAAGTTAATCATCACAGGCATATGTCATCGTCCATGAACCCCCATCACATTTTTTGCCCTGCATTGGTGTTGGCCATTTTGAGCATGTACCTCAAGTTGGCTGGCTGCAGAAATTTCAAACTTGCACATGCACACGTGTTTTCGTCCTGGATGTATGCGGATTGTTTGCGGATTTTTGACCCACCCATTTATTCCTGGCCTTGCTGCCCCATGGATCCCATGGATGGCCTTCTCTCCCGTCACTGCAACACTCTCCTGACCAGAGCTACTTGTACCGACTGGCTCACAACCTGCGTCTTGGCGCTGGTAGTAGAATCTACCCTGCAGCAGCCGGTGATACTGCTCATGACTGGTGTGCTGGGCGACTTTGTTGAAGAGGGCGCCGACTTCCTCTTGGAAGTACTGGACTCCTTGTAAAGTTTTGTCACAAGAACCGACACGTACACCTTCTGACCTTCCTGGCACGACCGCGATGTTTTATTTATCAGCTGGCTTAGCGATTGATTCTTGCTGTACATTGTTTGACTCTCAAGGAGAGCTGAAGCTTTCGCGGGAAGCATACAACAGTACAGCCAGAAAATCGCCATAAGTACTGTAGAGTACGTTTTGTTCCTGGGACCGGTTACCGATTTCAGGACATGTGAGGTTGGCAAGAAAATGGTGACACGAAAGCTCTGCCCACTTGCGCTGCCGACAATCTTTGCTTGTGAACACCTGCTGAACCGGTGTGTCTGCAGAGAATGTGCAAGGGTGTGCACAGGTACACCTTGAACCAAACACCTTCAACCTGTTATCGGTTTTGAATACACATCCCTCGCGAACAGTACACGTTTGCTCCTCCGCTTTTAAAATGAGATTTCTTCCCGTGGGAAGGGTAATCGACAGGGTGTTCAATACGGCACGTCCCTTTGATATTTGTTGCTATATTACGCCCGGAACCCGCCACGGCGGGGTCTTGCGGAGGGAGAGTGTCCCGTGGTCTCTGCGAAGAGGGAGGCCAAACGGCGTCCTCGCGGGGGCGAGCCGGAGAAACAACCGTCTACAATTGAGAGTAGGCCTAAACTCCCCGCTGCGAGGCGCCCGGTGCAAAAGAGTCAGCCTGAGTGAAACATACCGGCTTCTGAGAGCTAGACTAAATAGCGAAAACTAGACAGTCCGCGACGAAAAAAAAGGGAAGCAATGGCCGCCAAGGACGTTGGGCGTTGCAGAGCACTGCATTAGAGCTGGCGCTACTTTTTAGGGCAACAGGGCAAAGGTGTTGTTCGGGAGCCACATGTAGGGATACAGGTCTGTATTCCGACGCGTCTTCCGCGCGGGCTTCGCAGCTGATCATTTTTGCGCACAGTCTTCACAGAGAGGAATACCGTCAAACAAAGCAGTAAGTAGTATTGCAGGCATGGTCTTAACATTTCACTTGACCTTCCGAGTTCTCTCAAGCTTTGCGGGAGCGAAATTGTCAATGGCCTAATTTCTCCGAAGTAGAGTTTAATACATGAAGATGAACGTTCCCCCGACGTTCCTCAACGGTTCGTACCAAATTCGGATAGCTCTGTCGGGAAACGATACTTCGCGAGTATTTTCTTTTTGACGAACCGCTCCCGAGCATAGAGAAATATATGAAACATGTCAAGGGTTTGCGAAAACGATTTCCTTCACACCTAGGTACCCCCCGGGAGGATCCAATCTTGGAATGCCTCTTTGTTTGCAACGTGCTATTTTTTCATCGTAAGCATTCAATAGCGCAAGTCAAATCCGTTTAACCAAACCTGTTCAACCTATCGTACACAAATGATTTAACACTAGGTGGCACTAAAATTTGCCTGGCCTAAATGATGTCGGAGAAAACACGCAACAGTCATGAACATCATCCGCACCACATCTTCTCGCACCATTTCGCGTAACTAGAAACGCCTCTACGCGCGTGAATGAAGAACCCCAATGATGGATTGAAACCGTGGTACCCATGTCGTGCAAGGAACTCGTATGTAGCCAAGAGTGTAACGGTCGCCTACCGTTTCGCCTGTACCACTCTCCGACATTTTCACACGAAACACTACGACAACCAAAACGCCCGTTTCGGGTTGTGCTTACGTTCCCTCGAGCGTACGTCCGGCTCCTCTTCCTTCTCCTTGTTTTTTCCCCCCCCCCCCCCCTACGTCCTCCTCCTGTTTCTTCGCCCCCTTGCGTGTCGTCGGCTCCCCCTTACTCCCTCCCTCCCTCTTCCGCGCCGGCGTGGCGAGCGCGAACAAGCGCACATGGTTGGGGGGCACGCAGATGTACCATGTCCTTTGTGTGGGACAACGGTGCCCGTAAAAATTTAGGAAATTGTATGGTCTAGTTTTTCCAATGAACGTATTGTGGCATTGGGCCGGGAAGGGTGGTCACTTCGGGCCTCCCCCCCTAAAAAGTCACACAAAAACAGAAAGTGTGAGTACCTGGTTGTGCAAAGATTTTTTCCGAAATCGGAAGCCTTCCTTGGTCACTCGCCAAAACTACCGAAAACGGTACAAAGTACGAAGGGTCAAGGAAAACAGGACCCAGAAAATCAGCACAGAAATTTTGAAACTAGGAATTCGCCCGAAAACCGTATCATTTCCATGAGCGGACCACAACCTTTGGTTCACACCGTTTTACATGTACTCTGTCCAACGTCTTCAAAGCGCAGGAGGTATGTTCAAAATCTGAAGCCTTTCACCCGATGTATCCCGCAGTAAATGCCGTAGTAGAAGCCCTTTCGATTCCCCTCCCCGTAAAACACAACGGCTGACGACCACATGAAGAAACATATCAGTTCTCCCGAAGGACTTGTAGTGGGTCCCACGTCTCTTGAATCTCCCCCCTTGCATGGCTCGAACGGCCACCGATATACCCTTGCCCACATTCTACAGACACCGGTTCATCATGTGTTCAGTGTTGTGTCGACATATTCTCATCGTTATCAGATGTCTCGACAGCGGTATGCGGTCACACTGGTTCCCCTATCATGCTGGGATTCTGGTTGTAGTGCATTCTTCCCGCGAAGCGTCCAGCTCTCCTTGAGAGCGAACTCAATCAATTGTGTATCCACGTTCGAAAATTGAACATCGCGGACTCGTCACAACACGGTTTGAGAAATATTCTGTTTCTCACACAGTCGACGTGTCCGGCCTTGTGAAAAACATCAGAAGGCGTCCAATGTTTCTAAAAGGAAGTCAGCACCCTCTTCAACAAAGTCGCCCAGCACGCCAGTCACGAGGAGGATAACCGGCCGCTGTAGGGTAGCTTCTACCACCAGGGCCAAGACACAGGTTGTGAGCCAGTTGACACACGTAGGACTGGTCAGGGAGTGTTGCAGTGACGGAAAAAGAGCAAAATCGGTGAGCCCATAAGAGATAAACGAAAGGTGTCGGTTGGTCAATTCGCCGCACACATGAAAACGCTGTAGCTAATTGCCAACAATTGAGCACATAAATTAATTCGACATCCCAAGCGTCTCTTCCAACGCCAGAAAAATAAAGTTGTGGGGAGCGAATGGAGGGCGTCATTTGTACACCTCGAAAACAACGAACGGTCTACTGTACAGGGCAAGTTGGGGCCGAACGATATTCCGACCTAACCGTTGTTCGTTCAAGGCCTGCTGTTAGAAATAGATTTCCGACGAGCCGAAATATTTGGTCCTTGAATCATGTAAGATAAGAGGGGAGGCAGCAAAGATATTGCGGGAGAGATTCAGCCCCATACGCAGGGTGTGTTATATCCAATCTCCCACACTACTGACAGTTTTGTTAAACCGCCCATGGCCACCCATGGGCCCTTCATGGGCCACCCATGGGCTGCCCATTGGGTGACCCATGAGAATGCCCATGAGAGACCCATGGGCGGCACATGAAGTGCCCACCGTGGGCACTTCAACCTAGAACTTCGCCCCAGCGCCAACCTAGCAAGTATCAAACCAGATAAACTATTGTTTAGGGATACACTGGTTCGGTTGAAGGGCTCTCATTGGTCGGGCATGGGTTGCCCTCGGGCTACTCATGGGCACGCTCATGATGGGCTACCCATGGGCAACAAAGTGCCCGTGGGCATGGGTGACCCATGAGTGACCCATGGGAGTCCCATGGGGCGTTTGGGAAAACTGTAGAAAGCGCTAGAGACCTGTTGTTTCACAAAGGCGCCGGGCGACGGGACGAAATTCTGAAAACGCGCAATGTACGGTGCCTTCTCCGCATCTGCCCCATTTCGCCAGTGGGTGGCAGCTTCCACGAACTCCCATGGAGGGTTCCATTGCTTCCACGGAATACTCCCCACGGCTTTCCCACTAACAAAAGTGAATTGTCTAGATGACCGTGATGTGCTTCCATGGCAGGGCGATAACCACCTATCGATATTTTCCCCTCGATGACGGTCATGTGCTTCCATGCGCCAGCTTCATGACTTGCGCTGCGGTTTGTTTTGACTGCCACTTTAATTCGCCATTGAATGGGAAGCAAACGATTTCTTCGTTGACATCCTCCCGAATCGAGCTGGGTGCGATATGTTTCTTCGCGCGGGGTAAGTTCCCACGGTGCGATACAGATGCTGTCTATCCGAATGCTTCCTACGTGGTGGGGGCATCAATCGACTTTTCACACAATCATTGTGCGAGCCCGTAATAAATAGTGACACACGTAGTCGAACCTCAAGGGACTACCGGACCATGCCATCATGCTCAACTACGAGTGTGCCACTGAGCTCAGCAGTCTTCAAGCGCCGAAGGAGCGACAACACCAGCGAAAGACCGGCTGAAGTCAGGGAATCAGGTCTAGACCCATCCGACAGAACAACAACGGAGCTCACCGGTCAAATTTGATCGCGAAGACTAGGTTGGCGTACGTTAGGCAGAGAATGACCACGTACACCAAGGAGTTTAGGCAGACGTACATCACGGAACGCCCGTGCTTGCACTCGTGAAGCCAGGTGTTGAACTCGATGGCTCGGGTGGTTCTCTTGGCAGCGCGGTGCATCCTGGAGACAATGTGGGCCCAACATTCTACTGGTCGATTCTATGTGCGCAGTGCGGTAGACTACGCCGACAAGAACGGAACGTTGCACACAATCCGAGCCGGACGGTGGCGGAATGCCATGAGGCCACCGATGTTTGACCTCCACACAGCTTCGCAGTTGCAGGCAAATATTGCGACTTGTCTTGTAGAACCAATATCTGTCTACCTGTTTGTACACTTTACACCCCGTACACTCAAGTCTTTTACCTGAATGCTCGCTGCACAGGCAGGGCCGCGGAATGCATGAAAGGCAACGGGTGAGACCACGTGGTGATTAGATCCTCTTGACAGACCCTTTGAACCACCAGTTCGTTCTTCCTGTGCATGTTCAAGAAGTATGCGCATAACAGCGTGCCCAGCCCGCCGAACACAGCTCCTATATCGCCGCAATGACGGAGCACATTCGAACACAGAAAAAAGAGCGCTCAAACGACAAAGGAATGCATGTGTTGCGAGAAGGATGGCTTTAAGACGCACGGCCGCGAGGAAGGTGTGAACGTTACACAGGAAAGATCCAGAGGCTGGCTTCCATCTACTTGCAACAATCTAGAGCGCAGTTTGTATCACCTGTCGCGAGACCGATGTCGGAGCCAAAGAGAACCGCACCGCAAAGTACCAGAGCAGGCGTAATCACAGCTTGAGCTGCCATTGCCTGAACAGACCAAAGCAAAGAGGGCGGCATGCGGTCTTTCGGTTGAGTGATTTGTATCAGCCCATTGGCTCAGTTCCTAATGTATGCGCTGTCGTCCCGGCTACAATAGTGGACTAGCTCACTTGTCGGGGATTTCCCGTTGACCACAGCACATCCGAGTCGACAATGCATTCCTTCGGAAAAGGCCATGATCACTCCCTACCTGAGACATGATGGTGACTCGGTGAGTTACCACCCCGTACGCTGAAAACAAGCAGAGCAGGCCGCATGCAATGCCTAGCGATGCCGTGAGGTTGTGTAGAAACTCCTCTTGGTTTCCCCCAGCATCCCCCTCTGCCTCGTCCATCACTCGAAATACCTGTTATGTTGTTTGGAAAGCAGAAGTCGTACCTTCTTCAAGAACCGTTCGTCGACAACAGTTCATTCGTCTCCGAAAAGAAAGTACACGGTGACGGAAGTTTACACTCACTGCCCCTGTAGAAGCCTACACGGTGGGAAAGACGGCACACATGTTTGGCGGAAAACGACCTCCATCCTGGCTCATCGAGAACTTGTCCAACAAAAGTGTGTATCATGCCAAGGCGCGGAACGGCGTATATATATTGGGAACGCGACGTGTGTCGTTAGACCCGGCAAGGAAATGACCAACCATTCGCCGCCGGCAAGAAGGGACTTGTACCACTACTCTGGCAAGACGTCGTACTATTCCACCTTGACTGCATTGACGCAGACGCGACGACCCGTGCATTCTATCCGTGCGGTGATGGCGTATCTCCTCACCGTGGGTACAAACATCGCCATGCACATCGGCAGCACCATGAACAGTGCCACCAGCACTCTTTGCGACGCGACTAAATCTCGGTAAACGTCGGTCTTGCTGGTGCCAACTCCGCCGGTAGCATATGCTGTGGGGGGAATGAGTTTTGGTTTCTCCCCCCTGCGAGCAGGTGAGCAAGACATGTTGGAATCAACGCCGAAGAGACAAGGCAAATAGGGCGGTTCAGGTACGTCCATGGGATGCAGCACCGGGCCGTCGTGTTGGCTTTGCTATCCCCAGGTGTGACGTTCTTGAAGGTTTTGAATGCTCGCCTTCGGCTGCCGGTACACCTGACCGAGCCAAGGTCTTCAAGTACGATTGATGGATCTGAACAACACCAGAGGTATGCTTTCCCAACGGTACCCTGAAGTGGTATCCCGGTGAAAAAACGAACGGGAAGCGGACCTACGCCGAATATTTTAACTCGGTTATTGGATGGCCGATCGTTTATTTCGCTCGTTGTGACGTTTTCTAAAACATTGCAAATACACACCTGCTCGCGATGGCGTTCCCCACCGCCGACCCTCGCGTTATGTTCTTCGGCTGAGCCCTCGCTTTGGAAGGCAAACGGCGTGCGTGCCAGCCAGCCCGAGATAAAGCGTGGGACAGAAATAATGGAAAAAGGTTCAAGAGCCCGAGGCACCCACATCCAATGGTGTTATGGTGCTGCGGAAACAAAACTTTCCTCGGCAAACCAATCTGAAAGACACAGCCAACATTTGCACACAAGCAAGAGGTGACGTGCTCAAGTGTGCAAAGAACCGTGTTGGTTGGCTTCGGAAAAAGTTGAGGATGGTGGAGCAGGCATCCACGGGATGGTATTTCGTCACGTTGGAGCTCACCACGTGAAACCGTTGCCTGGAAGTCTTCATGATGCGTCTTAACCAACAGGTCATCCTGACCCATGTAGTGATCATGATCTTCGAACGGCCGCAGCTGTTTGGCGGTTTTGTGCTTCCTGACGAGAGCCAACGTGTCTGAGGAGGGTGGAGTGTTGGCTGATCTCATCATCGCAGGGAAGGCCAGAGCGGTTGGCATCATGAAGAGCGCCGTTACCACCGTCATTTCCGCCTGAGATGAACGGTTGGAACGGCAGGGATACATCTCTGTCAACTTGTGATAGCAAACCAAGCTGAAGGGTCCTGTGAAGCGTTGAAAGGGGGCTTCTCCGTTGGGCCCGCCTCAAAGCGCGACTCGCAATCGTCTATGCGACGCTCGCTTCGCCTGAGTGGGTATTCCTTTACATAGTGCATACGCACGTTGTGTCTGGTGCCACGATCCACAACCATACCCGTGGCGCCAAGGCATCGACAAGGAACCTGTTGTGTGTCTTTACGTCGACGTGTCTTCGCAAATATGAAGTTGATCAGTGTGCACGCATCATCTGTTCTACAACGCAGCCACCGAAACCGGGTGCCACTCGCGGCATCCTACAACACAGCAGCAACAACATGATTCTGTTTCCCTTGCATACCCATGTAGACTGATGAGAAGCCAAGCAGATTCCGTTGCCGGTGTGTGTGCTAAAAAATGCATAAACGTGTAGGGGCAAAACCTTGCACACGCCGTTCGTAAATTACCTTTTCCCGAATGCTGAATTGGCTCTTGCCGTAGAATATTGCTTGGAGAGTCAACACGCTCATCCAATCGGCCAGGAGTATGACGAGGTGCTGCGACCTGGGTACCGACAGCGATGGAGGTGGTCTCAGGAAAGAAAACTCAACATCATGGTTACAAATAGCAGGTCGCCGGTGGGCAGGGTCGAACAAATAGACCTTCCCTACTATCATCTACCCAATGTTAGTCATGTAATAGCAGCACAACCAACCATGACAGCGCTCAGGCATGATATTCATAGTAGGTAAGATGCGACAGTATTCACAAAAGTACAACGAGACCCGTTGATCTACCTCGTGAGAAGCGTTTTCTTGAAGTGCTCCGTTGGTGAGACCCACAGATGGCGCCAGGGGTGATTCATCAAAATGCTGCTCAAGGTGACCTGACGTGGTCGAGTGTACACCACACGGGGGGACATAAAAGAGAAAGCACAAAGGTGGTAGCGTCTAATATACTGAGCACGGGAGTTCAAGAGGTAGGAATGTATCTTCAGCCATGTCCCATCGGACAACTCGATTCACGTCGGCGCAGAGGAAGCGTTGCATCACCAAAAGTGACCGCTTGGCGCGCGACAGACATGTTCTTCCATATTCATACATCATCTCACGAAAATGACACGATCACGGATAGCACGAAGGGCATCTCACCGTAGCCAAATGGCGATCTGGCTTCGATGGTGCTGCCTCGTGGGTCTGGAGATAGCCGCTGTCCAGCTGGTTTCTGTTGTTCACATCCTTGCGTGCCTCGCGCGTTCTCTCCCGAATCTTTCAAATCACGGCGAGCGACGGGAGGATTTTCATGCCTTGAAGCTATTCGTTTCAGCCTCGAGCACATGGCAGAAGAGCAGGAAAGAAGATTGTATTGTCCACACGAGGAAACCTCGTCCTTAACCCTGTTCACGCAATGGCCGCTGGTACGGGCGTGGGAAGGATTCTGGACAACGGGACGGTGTATTTAACCGACCGTCGACGGTAGCGCAGTCTACTCCACGTGGTTAGCCAATGGTATTGCCTCGTAGCCCGGCTCATATGACGACTACCTGCAAGGTTTTTAGCGGGAAGGAGGCTTGCTGAGCCCTAGCGGATAGCTTAGCATATCGGTGTTGGCCGGTGGATTAGATCATTGTGGCTTGTGGCTTGAACGAGGACTTGATATCGAGCTACCAGGGCAGCGAGGTCACAGCACCCCGTTTGCTACCGAGCGGCATCTGCCGCCATAAATTGAGCCAGATTTCGCGACGTGCGCGGGATGGCCATCGTCCAAGAGGAACGTTGGGCGAGACTGACTACTCCGATCCGGATCACGATCGAGAATTGAAAAATGAATCCAACGTCAAACCACAACGGCAAAATCATTCTTCTACTTGACAACGGGGTCGTACTATGATTTTTCGACACTGCTCGAAATTGTGTGAAGCCACCTATACCGTGTTCCCACAGGTGCCAGCTGTCGCCAAAAGCCCTCCTTCGACCAAAAGCGACTGGTGGATGAAGACGTTTTGCCTAACACGGTGCCATCTACCTCGGCGTCTCGTAGGTGAGCTTGTCTACTGTACCACACTCCTCAACACTCTTCGAAACCACCTCCAACGGCCACGAAACCACCGACGAGGTGTATCGACGGGCCCCAGCCGCTGTTCGGCCCGAATCGACATGTGGTGCCGCAGTTTTAAATAGGCCACATATGTTGCCCTTCTTGAAAGAGGGTGTCTTGCTGCAGAGATGTCGTCGCCGTATGGGGCGGAAGTGGGGCTTTCCCCGCGAGATGTGCATACATTCCTCATCATAGGAAGTTGAAACGCGAGGGATCCAGCACTCCCACAGGTGCACGCCCGAGCCGCCATGCGTCTTGCCCAGTGGCATCGACGAGGGCGAAACCATCTTGCCGGCTGTCAAGCTAGGAAGCGCGTTCCCTTGAGGGGTGTAGCCTGGTTACCTCATATACATCTACTCGCAACCTTCGCTTGCCGCTCAGGAGGACTGCTGCTATCCCCTGTTGCCAAGAGTGACACTCTCGGCTGACAAGACGAAACATTGGACAACTGGCCGTGGTACAAAATTATAAATTATGACATAACTTTTCTGTCCTGCTCTCTTGGGATGCCGGCACAAGAATCAACGACCGCCTCGCTTGGCAGCCCACCGTGGCTTGAAGGCGTCTCCAGGATGGGCAGCGTCAACGGGACAACTGTCCTCCTGTAGAGCATGCTTTCACTGCTTGTACTGTCCTTGAACTTCGTTCTTGACGCGACCACCCCCATAGGACAAGATACCAATGTCGCAAAGGCTTTGCCTTTCCCACTCTCTCTGCTCTACTTCGCGTTCCGCAGGTTCGACACACCTTGATCATTGTAGGTGATGTGTTTTGGGCCGAATTGATCCAGAAGGCCTAGACTATGCCGATAGTGCTGGGGCGGCACACGCAAACGATCTAACTCACGCCAAGAGAGACCTGTGCCCTGCTGGTAATTGTGCTTATTGCTAACGTCCAACGGGCTATTCTGTCTATCTACGGCGTCGTCTTGAAGGTGATTTTGGACACATCTCGTGATACCCGTACATCGAGACTCATTAACGCTACACATATTCATGCAGACAAATTTCTACAGAGCGCTCAACAGGGTGGAGAGGAACTTCTATGTTGTTCTCGTGTGAGGTGTTGGTTGAGTCACGTGAGATGTCGGGAAATGGCGGTCAGTTCACTTCAACGTAGTTCCATTCTGAGAGTGAATCCTGCGGCAGGTTTCGTCAGTGATTCATTCTTGTCGTTTAGCATGGCACACACAAACCTTTTCGCTTGGAGTGTGCTGCGATAGGAATCGGCCCACAGCAAACACTGTCCTTGCGTGTGGGCGAAGAGTACATGGCCCGACGGCTGAAGCTGAACTACACGTCGGAAAAATAGTTCTTGGACGTCGAGACAGTACCGTGTTGCTCTTCCGTAGCTACATTCCACAGAAATATTAATGCTCAAGCGCGACCGTTGCCGATACGATTCGATCAGAGAACTACGTAGATTGACTGGTGGAGTCTGCTCCACTCTTATCCGCAGCAGCAGCAGCTGTGGAAAGCAAACCGCAGGGAAAGTACTAGACCATATGTTTCGGTGTTGTAGCCGACAACGTGTGATGTTCTGCATATATTTGAAATGCGTTCCTGGGCTCTGTCCTGTTGCTCTTCAAAATAATTTGCCGGCCGGGTTACGTAATGTGGCCACAGGCTACACACAAACTGCGCATATTGCAAGTTGGGATGGTACTCCTCATCGTCGCGTCCACTAGTTCGGGCATGTCCAGCGCGGTGTCTGAAAACTTCCTAGTTTCACAGTTTGCGGGATGTCCGACAGGGGCGTTGCTGTGCTGTTCGTCCCCCACCACGAACAGACGGAGACACTACAACGCCCTCAGTACTACTCCAAATAAGAGCAGTGTTGAATATGCAGCAGTGATGTGGTCTGAATTTTTGCAAAGGCATCGAAGCTCTGGCACGGTGTGTGGTGGAAACGAGCCTATGATCGTCCGATTCTCGAAACGGTGGCACCTTGACGGGGACACATAAATCTGCGCTGCCCGACGTATTCTACACACACCGGTGTCACCACCTTTGTTTTTCGATCACGGGTTGATTCAGGTAAGACGTCGGCTTGTGCGACAGCTGGGCGCGCCAGCTGGGGTCTGTGGGAATACATCGCAGTTGCATTCGTGCCCATTGACGTGGTTTAGAAGAGTTTTGAGCGGCGTCGTAAAAAGAATTATCATGTACAACACCACTAGGTGCGGTGACATGGTGTCGTATCTCAGCAAGTACCCCATATTTTTGGCCGAACGAGGGCGCTGCAATCCGTGGGAATACAGTGAAGGCCTTGGAAGCATTTTACGAGCTGTGTCGTAAACAACAACACAGGTTTGGAGAATATCATTACCAAAACTAATATGGTAGGACCATCGAACGGCGCTGGTGTTCCCCTTATCTGCCGTACACGTCATCATTTATGTACCACGGAGAGACGCAGAGCACCCAAGACCAAAGTGCGATCGTATCGGAAAATACCACCGTGTTGCGCACCACGTTTCGGAAGGACAGGATACTCGCATAGTCCTGGTGAATGGTACACAATGGCCAGCGTGAGTTCTTTGATAGAATATCACAATGGTCATAGCCACCGCGCCAGGTGTGCTCAAGAAGAGAAACTCGTATCATAGTTGCGCTAGTATTCAAAACCTACGAAGCCCAAGAGTGGTGACCAACCGTGGGCCGCTCGCTTCTACACCAACGACTTACCCTGGTTTGCACCGGTTGGTCCTCGCGAGAACACCTGCCACAGTCCAGGTATGAGTGGCGAAGAATGTCGAGGTACTCGTCGCTTACACCCCCCTTGATGCCCTGAGACGGGACGGCAAATATTCGAATGTACGCGACCGGAATTCGTTTGGAGAAAATGGGCCAAGGTCTAGGCAGAGGTAGCACTTGCGGTCGAGTCCTAGCCGTTCCGGTGGCTCTGCGGGCCTCCGAGATCATGATACAAGGAGGGCATCCTGGAACTTGTGTTTATTTAAAGACTCACAAAGGCCTCCTAAAAACGGGCATACAAGGTCTGTGTCGAGAACGTTGTGCATCGTGACTGGGTAGAGACGCCAAGCCGCCTGTAACCGATGGCACATCCCTTGGCGAGACCGTGTGTGGCAACCACATCAACAATCGAAAGCCGTTGAGACACAGAGACGAAGGTGAAGGCATGATTAGATAAACCTACAGTAATGCTCCGACGTTTTCCTTGTGCAATACTCTTAGTTGCCCAACGGCGACGCAAGAATGCGCTGCGTGACATCACCGGTTGGTAGTTTCTAGATTATACTTTCGGTTCTTGCGGAAGAGCCCATTGAACAGAACCTCGAGTTGTCAAAAGGTCAACAACCACTCCTCTGTCTACGGTTCCGTCGAAAAATGAATGGCGTGTTTCCGCTCCACTCGTACCTTCCAATGTAGCCACGCGGCAGGCGCCAGAAAAGTAACCACAACAATGCCGAGGAACAGGATGGCCGGCCAGCTTTCAGCCCAGTACTACCGGTTTCCAGGGGGAAATGCGTAGATACAGAACGGGGCGTGGTGGAGACCACGGTTCCTTTATGAAAAGCGTGCACGCTTGACACCGAAATATTTCTTCCTCAACAATCAAGGCCTGCCTTTGATGAGCAGCGTCTTTGTGGTTTCTCCAAGCCTCCCACGTTCGCTTCGTGGTGATCGATTGTGGGTACTCGTTCGTTGATTAACCCAACGCGTGATGCCCGTGTCTGTGTCGATCCAATTCTAGAGGTAGAATCAATTGATATTGGCAACAATACGTGGCCATCCACAGGTAGTGGAGCATCCATCGCTTCAATGGAGAGGCCTTCAACACAATCGCTACCTACCTGTAAACTGTTGCACGGCTGCACTCTACTCAAACAATGAGACGCGGAATTGAAAGCTCGGCTTACCTCTTGTAGAACGCTGGTGTCTGTTAGCTCGTGAACGGTGATCCACTGGATTGGTGTGCTCTGTTTTTCTGTTATGGCGAAAGGGCTCAGATGAAAGGTCCAGCAGATTATTGAGGAGGTTCCATCAACTTTGACGTTTGCGGAGCCTAGAACCACACCGTCGGCCTTCCATTCGTTGCTAACTTCGGACCAATACCCACAAGTCGGCGTAACGTCATCTGGTGTCCATTGTTGTATCACCTGCGGCGTCAACGACATCCAGGAAAGTGCGCAACGTGATTTTATGAAGAAGAAAGCATAGAATCGTCGGAGCGTTTTTCCAACGAGGGAGGCCGTTGGCCCCCCGCCCCCCCATTGGGCGGGCGACCAGCATGCGTAGGATGGCTGCTGGGCTTCAAGTGACAGAGCCAGCAGAAACGCTCACGAAGTTGTTGGGGAAAAGTGATAGTAGAAGCGAAGTTGGGGTTCACGATGAGAGGGCCCCACGTCCGGTACATAGATCTATACTTCCTGGGTAAGCTCTCACATCCGTGTGATACCTTCGAAGGTCGTTCGAGAAAATATCGTAAACGTTCGAAAATCGTTCTTGTGGAATATGCCGTTGTCCGATTTGGTCCGATCGTCATACGTTGTGTGCAAGGCGGACGGAACACAGAGTTCGGAAAGCTGCCAGCACAGAACTGGGAATGCACCACGGTATATGCAACTCAAAGAGATGAGGGAATGCCGCTGTCAACGGCGGCACAAGTCCTCTGTCGGCGCGGATGACCATTATCGTTGTCTGGCTTCCGTCGGTGCGAGTGTTGGTCGTAGGACAGACGGGTGTGTGAACTTCGGAAGAACTCGCGACGTCTGCAGTGCAGCATAGCCGATAGTTCCCGATTGAACCTCTGCGGTACCACTCCGAAATGTGAAATCGCTACTACTATTGCGCAGCACGACAAAACGCCCATGCCTGGCATGGACAGGAGCCTCACATATACATGTGGAAACTACAGAACGTCGAGCAATCATACTTGCGTGTGTCTGATGAATGTCGATGCAAACATACAGCCAGGACGGTCTACACGCGATCCACAACAGCAGAACACGACAAGGTGTACTGCTGTATTCTAGCACCCTTTTTCGTGTCGCAGGGGGTACTCACTCAGCCTACGAAGGACGGCGCCGCTGGCGAGAAAAGTTGTGGACACGCGGCTCGGTAGGCTAATTTCCCTGACTGGTCCATGAAGACATGAAAAATATTTTGCGAGCCACATATTATTCTGCAACGTGTCACGACACGACCTCCATGCTGTGAGGATGTCAGTAACAAGATAGCCGCGCAAAGGACCGGACGGCTTACATCTTGCTAGTGTAGGGGCCTCCGAAACCCGCCCGACATCGCGTGATGGAAGAAACATCCCTCACCCAGGAAATTCGCTTTGATCTTATAATTCTCTGGCATTGTGAACCATGACCTGCTCACCTCGGTGGGAACGAAGAACTTCACAGGAAAGGCCAAGTCGTGGATTTCCTTGCCGTTTTTGTCCCACGCGTTGATTGCTATGATGCCTTTTGGCCCTGCGAAAGATCGACACAAATGTGCCATACCCAGTAGTTGCGTCACTTCCCCATGTACCAGCAACGTGAAATATTGATGCGCCCGTCATCGTGCCAAAGAGGTTTCCATATTCATGTGGTTGGTCGATATGTGTCGCATGCATAGAACAGTGTTCATTCATCACCTAGCTTGCTTCCTGTGGACCGATCGTTTGGATCTTGAACTGTACGATTCGACGCCCTGGTCGGCCGTCGGAACGGCCATTTTTTCACCGAAACGCATACCTTCCGATTCGAACGTGCCTAGCGATGTCACCGCCACCACGAACGTGGAATTGTCTTCGACACCGGCCGGTGCCATCCAGTCTTCAAACGACACTTGTGCTCCGTTCTCGCCAACAGAGATAACAGCCTCATGAATGGAGGACTCGGCGACCTTCGCTGCCTACTCCAATCGTGCAAATTTATCGTGTCATGCATGGGCTTTGGCGACTTGAGGCATTGTAGAGGTGATGTGTGACGGAGTGTTTGGTACTGACCAACGAGTGAGAGTGTAAGCAATGTCTCGGTCGTGGAGAGGGTAAAGCAAACCCACCTGCAGATCGACAGAGTCAGTACTGACTTGATCCACCTCTTCACCCGCCTCGGATCCGATCGCCACAGCGCGTCCAAGGCTGCCGAGAAGCATGAGGGTGCCGTTTCTGCCGGAGTAGTAGCCGTTACCTTCAGCGACCGACGATGATACATTACTCTCGTGTAGGAGAACACCTACAGTCTGAGAAAAGTGAGTGGTAACAAGAAACGTGACGTGCAACGGAGGAAGATCACGTTCGATTGTTGAGTAGAGCTCGTAGGCCGAAGGTTGTCAAACCTAGCAAACATCATGTCGGTTGGCGGACTGAACATGAGCCACCGAATCGCATTTCACGATCGAGTACGGTCGGTCATGAATCGGACTGCCCGACCAATGAACAGGTTCACAGTATAGTATCTTGTTTGGCAGTTCATTCGATGGTAGAGATCCCAAAACGATATTCTCGAGAACCATGCTTGCAAAGCTGCCCATGTGGATGGAATGTTGTGTTCTTCTACGATATTTGACCCTAGTACTAACTGACGCGTGGCGAATCAAGTGGAAGCGGTGCATGGGCGCGAAAACATTAGTCTACACCTACGAGTCACAGCGAGGTTCATCATGTTTTCTCTCAGAGACGCGCAAGCAGACAAAGCCGCACCTGAAGAATAGAAACCGCTGGACCATACTCCAGCATATCTCCGGCCTCCGTCGATACTGTGAGCATGTCTTCTACTACACCTGATACCTCTGTCACCGTCGTACTGCTCAATATCCCATTTTGCTGGCAAGTATCAACACAAAATTGCAGCACGGCAAAGTATCTCTTAAACCGTGAGACCCGCTTGGCAAATTGGGGTTACCATTGTTGAGGTTCATGGTTCAACATCAGAATATTCTCACAGTGCCTCTATCACGCCCTCTCACACTGTTGTACAGCAGTACCCGGCACGACAAAAACAATGACGTTACGGCCATGCCTTGCTTTGCAAACCCTCTATCAGAGGTGGGAGATGACGATGCAAAATGGCTTTGGGATGTGGTGTTACCGTTGGCTAACGTCTCGTCTTGTTACGCTAGACCCGCTCACCGCATGAGAGGTAACTGCTGCCGCCAACGCCTCTGCACCAATTCGAGCTGCTCCGGAGGTCGAATCCATTGCAAGGTATGCCTCTGCTACGAAAGTGATGATGGCGTGCTGGGAAGGAATCAGATTATTTACCAGGTTCGCAACGAGTCAATCTAGTGGTGAGTCACTTAGATTTGTTCCTAGCATGCGTTTGCGGCAACCCCATCTGGAAGCGTATCCAAGTGCTTCATCGCCCAACGTACGCGTATCGAAAGGGCAATAGGAGGCTTTGCCCTGCCCATCCTAGCACCAGTCAGAACATCATTGTTCGGTCTACGTGCTTCCCATCCTACTTATTCTGTGCTCATTGTTATCGTGTGGCGCTGATGTAAGTATCTCGTCCGGGAAGATGTTGTAGGCGTTTCCGATGAAACTTGTGTCCGAGACCAACACCGGCCCCTTTGGTGGGAATGGCCACACGTCAATCCACTGTACCGGCACGCTCGCATCCAACATGTCCAACAACATGTACATAGTTCGGCTGGATTCTATTGCAAAACACTCAACCATTCTCCAGCAGGGCGTAAACGGAGAACTGGAGACTGATGGTCGTACTGCGGGGTAAACCTGTAGCCCAAAAAAAAAAGGTCCACCACCAACCACGGATTGGCCTCGGCACCTTCAGCTCCAACATTTCGCCGATTTCGTCCGCCGTTTCTGGCTCTGGTGCGTGTCCCAGAACGGCCGAAAGCATCATCACGCTCCTAAGCGCGTCATCAGTGTCGGTCAACGAGCTCGCTCCCGTTGATAACGACGAAAGATTGGCCCGCAAGGACGGCACCATGACCTGCTTCGTGCCATCGATACGCCACGTAGAACGTCAAAACGAGATAGAGCCCACAATTCAGAACTTGGTAGGTACTAACGTGCTCAAACCTTTATGGAACATAGGAACTTGAGTACCTTTTGTGAGCCCTAGGCTGTCTTCAGACCAACACAAAACAAGGCGAACGTGCCGTTGGCCAAACAAACTTGCACTCCACAGGGAGAGGCAGGCGTGTACCGTACTTCACATTTCGAAGCCTGACTTCCTGTCGGTTCAACCATTGGCGGATACCAACATGGACATGGCAGCATCAGACCTCATGCCCCATTCCCTATGCCTATGCCAATAACCGGGATACCACACCTGCTCCGGGGGATATGAGACAATCGACAGTGAGACCCCATCGATGCCAAGGCTCGTGACGGCCGTTGCCCCAAGGATATCAGAGACAAAGGCCACCAACGTAATGTTGAAGGCGTTGAGGGCCGTTCCGGGTGGTAGGTCCGTGAGTAGGGTACTTGATGATGACGCCCCTGAGGACAACCTCGTTATCCATTGTTGCCTGTACGTTCAATAGTGAGAAGGGTACGTAGAGGGCACATCCAGTCAACTCCTTCGATGAGAGTATTGTGTGAATGGCCATCCTCGGGAAGAGCTTCAAGCCGAAACCTTTTGCTCAACGAATAGTTGTGTGCGACCTGACCGCACACGAAAAAGATCATCGCATCAAATGAGATTGCAAGCATTCTAGGGTTGTCCCTCATATCTCCTCTGCGTGCAAATTCACCCCTGCAGTGCGCGAAGTTTCGGATTAGATACCATACATTCCGCCCTCAACCATCCAGAAGAGATTAAGACGCAGGCGCACGACGGAGCATGCCATACAGCCGATCTCATGTCCGACAATGGGAAGTTGAGATTCCATGGGGTCACCTTGACACAGAACGAATCTCATGCCATCCGTGAGAATAACCGAACTCGTATGTCATCGGAAGATCCTCAAAGTCGTCCGTCCAACCCAAAGTCTGTAGCATCACGGCGTTTTCCCCGGCGTGCACTTGGAGCAGGTCGGAGCTCACATGTCCTCCCACGGGAGCATCGTTGGTTTCGATAGAAAACTCTGCATCATGATAAAGAGATAGTCGTCAAGGCATGGTCGGCTTCGCAACGTGATTCCGTTGGGTATCGCCTACTTTCAGTTGTATGAGACCAAGCAGACCATACGGACTGCCCCCGTCGAAAGAATGACGACTCGACATCTTAGATTCTATGGAACCCTTCCCGTTTCACACGGTCACAACAGCTGTTTGTGGGATGTTAAAATACACAGGTTTTCGGAAAGTGTACCAGAGTAGCCGGCCCTGCCAGACGATCCTGTCGCGGTCATTGAAAATGTGTACGTTCGACCTGGAGAAAGAGCCCCGGCTCGCACAACGAGAGTTGGGTGGCGGTCGCCAGTGCGAAACACTTGATCGTTCCCGACAAACGAATCGTCGTTCAACAGCCCGATGTTGCTGTCCACCTGGCGTGGTAACGAGATAATGTGCAACAAAGGGTTCAGAACAAAATAGAGTGTGAATGGGTGCGCAAGCCTTGCGGGTTCGCCGGACCTCATCTCGGCAACGAAAAGGCGATCAAACCGTCAAAACAATCTCATTCCCGTAGCTATGTGCAGCCTCGCTGGGGCGTGTCACGTGTGGTGACGTTGTGAAAGAAGTCGTACAGCGCATCGAGGGAGTGTCACTGTGAGTTGACCTGCGACGCCTATCGGTATGTCAATCTCGCATGAAATCATTTTTTCTCACACCTGATTCCACTGGAAATCAAAGCCCGCAAAGGTGCTGTTGCTGCAATGAGACTCGATGGATGCGGCTGCACACCCATACAAGACCAACCTCTTCGAAGGGCTGAATTTACGGTGGATCTCCTGTGGAGCGATGACGGACACAATGTTCGCGGCATTCCTTTCAGTGACATGAACAATTTTTAGGATGGCGATCGGATGTTCGCTACCAATGGTGGCCACCACTATGGCGCTCATTGCTGTTCGGCTTTCGAGGAGTACCAGAGTCCAACCAGAAGGGTCATGAATCCATCATCAGCACTAGCTTGAAGGCTCGTGAATGAATTGACGCTTACCTTCGGGGTAATTGCAACATGTGGAACATCAAACCCCGTCGTGGAGATGATGCACGACGTATTGTCGCTGCGGTACTTCGACCATGGCGTGCTGCCATCGGAATGCTTTGATGCAGTGACCGCGAAGACGTACACAATACCTGCCGGTGGGAGGCGTCACGTTGTATGGCGGAGTATTGGCACAACAGCAGGCAAAGTCGGAGTTATGTTCAAACCCCCTCGGACGAATGGCTTCACTGCCGCCGTGAGGAAAACGAAAGTGACAAACTTCAGAAATCACCTTTGAGATATTTACGGACTGTAGGGTGCTACGATACACGGTGCCAGCCTGGCGTGTGGACCCAGGTGATTCTTGTGCCGGTCCCTCACCAGATGGTAGCGATCCTGGGGGGATCGATAGCATGGCTCCTGCAGCGAATCCCGAAAGGTCCAACACTTCGCCCGCCATCGAGACGCACGCACCCCCGGATTCGCTCTCGCAATGCCAGGTGTACTTGAATGGAATAGTTTCTACGCCATCCGTATCTACCGACACAGAAGCATCCAGTTCCAGAGTCTGTGATATATTGCAACGTGTGGCAATAGCTTGATGATGAACGAATTTGCCAAACACAACTTGGATCAACCTTACGAGAGCAAAATCTTGGTTTGCGTAGGAGCTGACATGGCGCGAATACCAATATGGTGCAAACCTAGGTTCCATACTACAGCTCATGCAACCAAGATACAGAACGGAACGGGTTGGTGTCCCCACAGCGTTCAACTCTGTTCTTGCCTGCCCAACTCCGATGCTCCGCTTTGTTCCTCCGGAAATAGCCGCGACTATTGGCCCACTGACTATCTCGACTATGGGATCGGAGTGGAACAAGGACGAAGAATCGTTATTTGCAATGCAGAATGTTGGGATCAGGTGTAGCCAATGAGACGTTGGTTCTGAAAATACATGGTACAATCACGTTCGACACACACTACAAAACTCAAGCTACCCAGAGTGAAAACGGCTTTGAGGGAAATCGTCTGCCGCATTTCTTATCGTTTTCGAGGACGTGCTGTTGCAGCTTGAATTCATCGAGTGATAAGACGGACGATCCGTAGGATGAACGTTTGATCTGGTCACCATCATGTGTCCGGGCAGCATCTCGTTGTTTCCAGCCGTACCTTTAACTTTCTGCAAGGTGTTTCCATCGGGCTAGACTGGCGATAGCTGATGTCACCTAACGCGCCAATCTACCCAAACTGCAATGTCCCGATAGAGACGAAGCCAAATCTCGAGTACTTCGTGTTCAGCCAACAGCAGACAACGCCGCACGAGCGCGCTCGACTACCTGACTTACTGGTTACGTTGGCGGTATTGGTAGTTTCGCTGCCAAAAGCTGTCGTCAGTTGAAACAGGTATGTGCTTCCTGCATAGCCCAACGTGTGAGACGGGATGACAAGAACACGCGGGTCTCGACCGACGTCCACCACCACCTCCGGCGTTCCTTCGTACGATTCATTGGCTGAAACTAGCCTCCACGAATACGATGCGAGTGCCTCGTCAGTCGTCAAAGTCGAACACGAAGACAGTCTCGTCTCGCTGCGGAGAATAATTTCATTCCCGCGGGTCCGCTGTAGAGCTGATGATCCCACAATCTACGCAATACCGTCCAGATCCGGTGTAGGGTGTGTCAAAAGGCAAGCGTGTGAGGAGGTA